AGTCCAAATCTTCGACAAAGATGGCAGATTCAAAATGAAGTTTGGAGGGCCTGGTATAGAGGCGGGACGTTTTCAAAACCCTTACTCTGTGGCGATAGATGACGATGAAAATCTAGTCATCAGCGATGTCGATAACCAAAGGGTACAGTTGTTTAATCGATGCGGTGAATACGTGAGGTCCTTTGGACAGGGAAATATAAATAAGTCTTGTTATTGTATTTATCACGAGGGGCAGTATATCGTCTCGGATTCTGAAAGTTACTGCGTTAAATTCTTTGATAAAACTGGACAATTTCTACACAGTATTGGTAAACAAGGAATGAGAAACGGAGAGTTCGACAAGTGGATTCGTGGACTCGCCATTGACAAAATACGGTCTATTTTTACGTCTGGTGTGTATATCTTGACAGCGGTCGTCAAAATCAATTCGAATGCTTATATCTTTAAATAACTAGCTTGGTGTTATTTGACTACAAACTATAAAGTTGATACAGCTGAGTTGAAAGAAGTCTCCAGAGTTCTTTTATTGTTTTATCTATCAGACCTGCTTTTATTAGTTTGGTTTCAAGACTCATTAAAAGTGTTTACTTTGACCTAGTTGTTGTAAGGCGTTTATTATTCGTCAATGAGAACTTTTTTTTCACCGCAGGGAACTAAAAAAAACTTCTGAACGACGGTCCTAGTCCATCGTCTTAGACTCGTTTTTCCGAAACTACGCACCTGATTTATTATTCAAAACCACTTTAATCACTTAAAACAAAAAGTCCATTGTTCGATGTTTAACACCTCGAAATGGACACCGAACAATAGGGGATTCTTTGATACGATGGTGTCTCTGCTAAAATGTAGCTTTCACGGCCTTAGTTTATAAATAAACTTCAAGCAAATGGACGGTTTCTATTCCGCTTTAGACTTTAAGGTAAGATAATAATGTAAAAAACTTAGTAATAACATACTTAAATCTTAAATAAGTTTATGATATGAATTGCAAATCAAACTTCTCAGGCTGTGACATGCCCGTGACATTAATAATAAAGCATACGTACCCGGTAGTCGAGACTAAATCATTAATTTCATCGCTAAACTCAACCCAAATCTTACCCTAAACCTAAGCTAGAGCTAACCAAGGACTTTTGTTCAGTAATTTTGATTTTTTTTTTCGCAAACGGACATTTTGACTTCCACTATTTACCCGGCAGCTGGTCATGCATGTATAGACACTTCGAACTTTATGTCGCCTTAGTATTTAAATTAACTTAAAAGCTTTTCCTATTATAAATTTCGATGTCTCTCTGAACTAATAAGCTTATATTTTTATCAATAAAGCTTAACTCGCTTAACAGTGATTGGAAGAAAAGCCCTGGAATAATTCTGCAAAACTGCAGAACTGCAAATCAAGAGAATGAAATAATCAAAGAACAATGTGGATTTCACAGATATCATACTTCTCAAAACAAAGTTATGATATACTAATTCACTTGTTCTTTCAATACATGAAGGCATTAGGTACTCAAAGTTTGCACTAACAACATATGTAACAACATATCTTGTTAGTTAATACTATTTTTTTAATCCAATTTAAATGTTAAATTGTATTTTTCCCAATATTGTTCTGACCTTTTTGTTCTGATTTTTTTTCTGATCATCTATAGTAGAGTACAAACATTAGATATGTGCAACACTTTCCTTACTACAGAATAGTGTTAATTAAACAATAGAAAACAATAGAATTAGCATAATTTAGCAGTATATAGTGGTATTTTAGTTGCACTGTTTTAGTGTTTGTACTCTATTATATGTTTTTGTTAAAATTAATAACTTATCTAATTTTTTAATAAAATGTTCAAAATACATCTGACCATCTTGCAAAAGGCAGCTCTCACAATCTCCGAGTTATGTTGCCATTGGCAACTTGATTCGTCTTCTCGTCGTGCGCAACTGTTACGTACGGAGCGCCAGAGCTGTCGGTTTCAAAAATGGAGCTGCTTTTTTGTCAAACTTCTTTGTCCTTCACGCCCACGTCTGCACCAAAAAAGTGTTGAGTGAAATCACACATTTCTAAGGAGGGTAAGAGGCGCATCTGGGCACCCATGATAGCATCCTTTGGTTGACTGCCAAGCGTCGTCAATCTTGGCATCGCGGGTTCAATTCTCAGCTCGTAGACGTTGAAAAAAAATCTTTCTTTTTCTTCGTTTTTTTAAGCTTCAATATCTTGCTTTACGGTCAGTGTTTCCTTTTCCGTGAAATATTTTTTTTTTTTGAGCCAATTTCCCCCGACCCCCCAAAAAGACAAGGATAGAAGCTAAGAATCGACATCACTACGATCACCGCTTCTATTCGCTCCTAAAATCAAACTTACACCAAAACCATTCCAAAATCCTTTTACACAGCAGAAACACAATACCTAATACATCTACTGGTCGACTTTCAGTCTCATTTGGTCAACGGTTCGATAGAAACCGTTCGATTTACAACGGTTTTTGTGGAAACTTCAAATTCTATGTAACCTTGCGACAAGTATCCGGCTCACGGGCCGTCATGTGATAGGCGGCTGGTATTGTTTTTGCAACATGGAGTAGAGGCTCTCCGTATCACATGACGGCCCGTGACCCGGATACTTGTTGCTGGAATTTAAGAAAGTCATTGTCCAGTTGGTAGTGCGAAATTTTTTAGCTGCAACGCCATTTTTAGTACTTCTCCATACTCTCCGCTTACTCCTCCTCATCGCTAAATAAATGTTTATTGCCGTTACTGGAAGTAAAGTTATTCATAATGTCTTCCTCCCGATCGCCAGTGTTGTCTTCTGTAAACCTTTGTGAACACCTGAAACCTTTGAACCTCACAACCACACCTGAAACCGTGTCAATAAAGGTTGTAGTCGTAAGCGTTCAGCAATACGTGACAGTGGAATATCGTCGTCGTCGTCTTCTTCGGTTGAGCCGTTTTCATCTTCGTGGTTCACAGTAGAGAATCCTGATGCAGTAAAACACTTTGTGATAGTTGTTGGCTTTGTTTCAATCCAGGATTTAGAAATTCAGTGCACACAGCCCAGTAATGTTATTTCTTTGCAAAGAGCAGTCGCACTCTCGGAATCGTCAATCTTGCTTAGAAGACTTCTTAATAAATGTTTCTTGTATCGTGCTTTAAAAGCACGAATAACACCTTGATCTAGTAGCTGCAAATACGAGGTTGTGTTAGGTGGCATCTGATCCATGAGACGAGGCATTATCCAAGAACATTAATATATCACTGGAAAAGTTGAAGAGTTTACAGAGATTGTAAATTTGCTGTAAATTATAATTTACAGACTTTGTAAATTGATCTTACAGGATAGTTACTGTTCTGGCGGTTTACGTTAAGTTGACATGAGGCATAGTTTCGAACTCAGGTTTCCATTTATTTACGGTTACGTTTACGTTTACAGTTA